GAGCATTTACCATTATCCAACTCGAACAACTTGTTTATTATGACCTCGCTCGCATTCGTTCACTATGGTGCTATTATTATTTCAAAGATTCCTCTGTTCTCATTAAATGGAATGAGTTCATGTGCATTAGCCACGCTTAACTTTGCATTAAGCTTTGCTAGGATATGAGGAGCATAAAGTTTTTCTTCATCAACGACTTCTTTTAAAAGTTTTCTTCTATCATTAAAGTAACTTACCGATCGATAAAATATCAGCTGCATACATGCGATTATAGGCAAATTACGAGCTCCTTTTAATACATTATTGAATACCTTAGATAAATTAGTCGTCATCACTCTATACTCGTCGACCTCCAACATATACTAATGTCCATTTCTCTCGAGGAATTTCTTCTAGCCATTTTCGAGCCTCAAAATTAGATTTTTCAATCTCATCCATAATAGCATTAAACTTCCTCGGTTGGTGTGCACTCCCAGCTCTATAAACAAGATTTTTTAAATGTTTACTATGGAATATGTCTTTAAAATTACTCGCATAAATGCCTTAGGCAAAAACGATGATACGCATAAGGCTCTTTCCATCTTAAACTAGTTCATTCACCTGCAAGTAAGAATACTAGTATGACGATCCGATATCAAATAGATACCTCTACAATCGGTGACCTTCTCTCTAATGGAAGCTAAAAACCAACTCTAGTTATCAAAGGACTCCTCCTCCACAATAGCAAATGCAAGTGGGAAAAGTTATCCATTTACATCAACTCCCATTGCAATCAGCATATTTCTTGTATATTTTCTATATAAATGTGTGCCATCAATACTAATTACGAGTCAACAATGCTTAAACCCCTCAATAGATGCTGAAAAACTCCAAAAAACACATTTAAACAAAGCTAAATTTGGATCTTGTAAAAGATCATAACACCATTTTACAATGGTGCCACCATTATATATTTGATAGCTTTCATAAATTTTGGCAACACTTGATAAAATGTATCTCGATCACCAAACACCTTTGTTATTGCTTTTTGTTTTGCATACACATCTTTTTATAAGAAATACTATAGTAAAACTTTGACTTCACTTGTTTACATAAAGTCGTTATCGAGATAGATGGTTGTAACTTCACTTGACCTTCTATTTCTTGGGCTAGGAATTTTGCATCGAGTTGGCGATGGTCTCGACTAAGACTTAGATAAACACAAGTATGGGCACCGACATATTGTGTAATCTCAAATAATCCATGACCCTTTCGTTTGAATACACAAAGTCGTCATTTAAATCCATTTTTCCTATGTCTTTTACATCTCAAACTCCATACCTTTTCTTTAGTTTCAAGAACTTCATACTATCGGTGTCGCTTGATAGAGTATAATTTTATTGCTCTTCATAATTCTTTCTTATTTTGAAAGATTAACCCTTTAATTAACTCATCATTAGGATTCCATCTATAATTTTGAGGTAATGGAGTCCAATTACATACCAAAGCAGACATCTACCTAATCTACATCTTTGAAGTAAGGTGTGTCTAGTTCATGTCGTGAATGACTCTGCTCATTTTCTAAGCCATAGTCTTCAAAAATGGTTGCTCTTGTGAATTTTCCATACCATTATCACATGGCACATTCACAGCCATATCTTCGGCTTCATTGCATTCTTTTTCTTCTTCTTCCCTCTCCTTACCCATATCAACTTCTTCCTCTATTAAGTTATTATTCACATGCATACCATCAAATATATCAGCACTTTCATGTTCAAACATTCGCTGTATTGTAGTTATATCCACACTTGCATCACTTTTATGATCATATCTATGCATTGCACCAAGAACCGAAGAAGTTGGATGATTCGGAGAAGAAACACGATTTCTATCAAAAAGTAGAGGGAATTAAGTAAAGTGTGATCTTTTTTAGTGGTCAACTCGCCTAAATACATCCGAACCAATACCTTGAATATCATGCTCACTCGACTTAGTGAGTATAGCTTCGTCTCAACATACAACTCAATGTTACTAATCGAATCATGAATTAAAGGAATTTCAAGCATAATATCTACGTCGCTATCATCAACAATACACAAGCGAGTATACTTGACCATTGATGTCTATACAATTGTAGGATATTTGCGGACCAACTTCAATCGAACATGTTGTTTATCAAATCTTATAATAGCATATAGTTTATTTAGTAACTCGTAATATTTTATCATTCGAGTCACCTTAATGGCTTTCATTGGTGGATTATCGTAACATGGTCCTTCTTCTCCATCTATAATATGTCCGTTCTAGTAGCAAAATATAGGTATATCTCCGTTAGCCATTACCAACCCGAAAAAAATAAAATTTAACATTACATCAAATTTAACAAAAATCTAAAATAGAAAACTTATATAATTTATAGATATGATATGCTAATTTGTTCTCTAAATTTGTATGTCATATATATTGAGATGTTAAATGCACATTTGTATATGTTAAAAATACAAACTTACGCTTAAAATGCTAATTGATGTTGCATGCAATTTACTTCTATTTATTAGACGTTAAAATTTTAAAATGCTATCGAATGAACATAATTCTATGCATATTGATAAATAGTCTTTATTCAAGGACTAAAATTAAGATTTTCTATAGAAAGTATTCATGGTTTAAAAAGATTTGATCCTCATTTATTTATGAATATAGTTAAAACCAAATGCCCTTATACCTACCGAAGAAAGCCAAAAAAAATTAGAAGAGGACGAAAAAAGACTGATATGAAATTCATTTGCAACCGGGACACAAAAACCCAAATCCACAGCTGGTGATAATTCTCAAATGGAAAAAAATATGGTCATTACTTAGGCTCTTTATCACCATGAATTTGCTCGACTACAAAAAGAAAATGAGAAAAAAAATCACAAAAGAAAAGTAGAAACATTGAATGGTCTCTGCATGAAGAAAAAGAAACAACATGATCTAGGCTCTCCACCTATCCACCACCACAAACCGGCTCAAACCGAAGAAAGAAAATGAGGAAAAAAATCACAGAAGACCAAAAGAAGCATTAAATGGTCTATGGTTTATTTTACCTCCGTTCTTTATGTTTGAAAACTAATGTTTGTATTAAGTTCTAACTCAATAAATTAAAAACCAATTTCATATTCCTTTGTTTTACTATGGTCACAAACAACCCTACTCTTTCCTATTGTTCAAAAAAATGAAACCGTAATGGTGGGTCTCTAAATACTTAGCATTACACATTAAGCACCGAGTTAAGGAACAAAAAAGGGACAAAAAATATACGGAGTTTGTATTGGAATTTTGTAGACAACAAATGGTGGGTCAAGAAGTCACGGTCTCACGGTGTAATCATTTATCACTTTCTCGTCAAATAAATAAAGTAAAATAAATGCATTAGACATAGCCCTAATTCAACTCGAGGTTATGGTCTTCACATAGCCGAGTTTTTTGGTACAATATCGTTAGGAACAAGTAAAAATCATCATTTATTTATGAATTTTTCCTTTTCTTCACTTGTTAGGACGTTAAACTTGGATTACATAAAAGGGACGAGTTCTTGTTTCTTTGATAGTTTTGGTATTAAGTACAAATCGGATGAGAAATCCTATATAAAATTCATGGTTATTTTGAAATACCATTAAAATATCAAAATTAAACAAATAAAAACAAAAGAACATAGAAAAATACCTTAATTGACGATATTCATATGCTATAAAGAACTGTTCTAGTAATTGTGATCCTGAATTGTAAGAGTATTTGAACTTAAAAAAATTAGGGCAAAAACAACAAAAAAAAGACCGAGAGAGCGTAGGTTTTTATAATTTTTTAAATTATTATATTAAATATATATTATAACATTTAATTAAAAAGATGATATGAATGTCTATATGGTAAAACTACCTCTTTTTTATAAATAAGATTTAAAGTATCTTATTTTGAAAAAATAGATTAAAAAGTACCTATTTAGGAAAAAAAAACTCCACCCACTTGGCCACTTGAGTCCTCTCTTCTAATTAAGAAAGGAGACAAATCCGCCCTAACAGCACCATATAAAACTGAGACAAAAGATGAATTTGCTAACCAAATCATTTAGCCAAAAAATTACACAGATCTTTACCTACAATCCTTAGGCAGACTATGTTGTGATCAAACCAGTCTTTCCTTTGAAAAAGAAAGGTTCCAAAATGTCATCTAAAACGAAGACTTTATGGATAAACCAATCAACCCCAAAGAGAAGCTAAAAGTTCGAAAAGGCAAAAGTTTGAATCTCATGTCTATGTTGCTGTGATGTCTGTCCCCTATGAACAATACCTCTCTCTCCTCTTTACAGCCCTTCCTCTCTTCCTCTTTCTTTTCTTTTGTCCATGGACAATAACACACTCTTTCTCTAGGTGATTTGTGTTTTTCAATCATTCTGCATGCAAGATGTTGATGGGAGGGATAACCACGAACCATGGTCCTGGTAATTATTTGTCAGTGACAAATTGGGTTAGATTTTTATTTTTATTTTTTCCAAATATAGCTAGTTTTTTTTTTTTTTTTTTTTTTTAAATGGAGATTACGAGAGATTTGTAGTTAGTTTTATGGGTTTTAAAACAATTTTTTTTTTCAGCTTTTTAATATACATTGTAAAATCTTAAATGAAAAATCATGCATCTCACAGATTTTAAGTTGTGAACAAGATGACCCTAGGATGATTTGTGTTGAAATGTCGTAATGAAGGGCAGAATCGGATCAAATGATCTATGGGAGCCATAATACAAAAGATGTGAATCTGGGTTGGGTTGAGTTTTTTTCATGTGCATGCAGAGTTTATTATTTGTTTGCAGCAGTGGTATATATACTACAGCCATATTATGCATGCTCTAATTCTCCTACTTTTTGCAGGTTAGGCTATGGGAAAGACATGACATGACATGACATGACAATCACAAAATTATCATCACCTTTATTCAAACAACATATTTGAAATCTCTTTCATGGACATAAATAGAGACACCATGAGTCCAAGAAAATGTAAAATCACCCAAATTAACGACCCAGATACAACCGAGCAGCAGGAGTTGCCTCCGATAATGTTCAACTCGGATTTAGAGTTGGTGATGTAAAGGTGCTTGCTAACGAGGTTTCTTTTCCATTATTGTTTTTGGCTTTACCCGAGATAATCCAAGTTTTTTTTTATTCTAATAAAAGAAAATTGTAGTGGTTTCATGATTCCAAGTCTGGGAACCGTAAATAGTCTTGTTCCTGTAACTATGGTGTTGGCTGACTTCTATTCAAAAAGCTTTTGAGCTGAATTCGGTAAGATTTAATTCAATGATTGCACGAATGCATTTCCTAATATTGAACTTTCAACTTGAAAAGTCTGTTATAGGTTAAAATAAACTATAGTCAAGGGTTCGGATCCTTTCCAATTCTAATTTCTTCATTTTATTATTACCACGGTGAGAATCAATTTTATTTTGTAGGCATTTGATTGAAAAAACAAAGTAGAAATACAAATAAAAATTACTCATAATTTTATTTTGTTAAGTGAAGTGACAATAAAAAAATAAAAATAAAAAAGAGATTTTTTTTTAAACAGTGTATATGATTTTCATTTGTAAACCTCCCAATTCAAATATTTTTATTGTATCGATAAAGCACAGCCTCCCCAAACAGGAATTACAAAAAAAGATTCCCCTTTGCCATTTTCCCGCCTAACCCAAGAGGTCAAGATTAGCCCGTCAAAAGCCAGAGCTCAAACTCCAATCTTTTCTCGCCCATCATAAACTTTTCCACGACTAGTTCTTAAGCAATGGCTGACAGCCATGCCTGCCTCTGCTGTACATATTTATATACCGTTGAGGTTTAAAAAATTAAGGTTTCTGAAACGCAACCACAAGCAATAAATCCAACAGCTTGAACAACGGTACGATGAATAATCATGGACAAAAAGAAAATCCCACAATTTTATGGATTTCTTGCAGCATGCATGCATGATAAAAGGTCAGCACGCACTGATTCTTTTTAGATTTAACTCATCTATTCACTTTCCTCCCCTTCAATTCTAGTTTCTGTGAGAAAACAAACTCCAACTAAATTTGCAGGCTGCTGGCCATAAAACAAAAATAGCAGCAATATTACATGCAAACAGAGATGCTAATGGAAGAATAATCCTATAGTTCAATAAATTTGATGAAATTTCTTGGGGTCTCAAGCTTCTACTCAATTATCCGAGGCACTTCCTTCTCGAGCATAGATGTTCCCTTGAAAATCGTTAGCTGAAACTCCCTTGTATACTTCAACAACTGTACAGAAAGATGTTTTATAGTTGTTACTGTTCGTGCAACAATAGTTCTGTCTAAACAATGAACACCTGATCCCAAAAAGTCCTACCAAAGTTCCATTGGATCCCATGTATTTTACAAAATCTATAGCACAAGATGAGAGTTAAAATGGCAGAACTTTTGTTGATAGTTTTAAAATAAAATATCTAAGGACTTCGTGCAGACACACACCACCCTGTTGGGAGATGATATCTGCACTCCCCACAAGTTATTCTGCTACAAACAAAACAAAGTAGCTCATTATTTTCACGCACATACAATTTATTCTGTTACAACCAAAACAAGGAAGCTCGTTATTTTCACAATTTTACGGGCATTTGATCACTTCATTGATTCATAAAAAAAGAAATAAAAAAAAATTGACCATTCGTTAAAGAAATAAAGGACAACTTACTTGTCCCTCACTCATCTTTCTGAAGCCAAATCTTTTTGTCCAGATTGACTCCGCTTCCTCAGCTGCTGGTAGCACCAGTTGTTCCACATTCAGGGAGCACAATAACCTCTCGATGCAAGAGAATAATGATTGGAAGTAACCCTTAAAGAGAGAATTAAAAAATTCAAGTTCACAAGGTTATCATCAGAAGGCTCAGCCTTATAAAAAAAACATGCATGAGGAAGGAAAAAGTAAAAGCTTAATGTCAGCATACTCATTTAAATTATAACATTACACTTACTTTCCCTTGATGTTCTCTGCTTGTAGCCACTAAAGGAAGCTCGGCAACCTCCCTACCGAAAATCCTAAGAAGACCAGCAGATACAACAACATGCCTGTGGATGCATCAAACACAAAAATTACATTATTAATAATAATAATAATAATAATAATAATAACCAATAGATTGAAAAGTAAGTTAAAAGCTCAAACAAAAGCAACATTGCACGATTTGCAAAGTACCTTACAGTCAAAAGCACACAATACATTCCCCCAAATTCCTGGCCAGATATATTTCTCCTGCATAAAGTTAAAGAGAAGATTTAATGATCTAAAAATCCTGAGAAATTACAGAAATTAGACAGACAACCAGAACCATAGTTACCAGGAACGTGGCATGTTTGGGTCACATGGTACAAGATTTGACATTGGGGTATGCACTTAGGTGAATTTGTGGTACGGTTGGGGGGGGGGGGGTGTGGGTGGGGTTAGGCTTAATAGGCACACTAATTTGGTCCATGGTATGTCTAAGAACACCTATTTGGATGGTTGTTCGATATTGAATAATATATTTTTACATCTTTATCTATTCTTTCAAAAAACTGAACTCTTTTTTAATTGATTTATTTGTTTTTTTATTTTTTTATCTTAATCCAGGCCACATTAACAAAAATATAATAATCTTATCTAGTTTTGTGCTTTAAAAACAACAAAAATGTCATACTTTAGGTTACATTGGAGATACAGAAGTGTAGGGCTAAAACTTCCTTTAAAAATATTGGACTCAATTATCTGTCCCCCTCTCCCCATGGCACTCTTCTCTATCTTTCTTTCCCTGAGAAAGCAGGTCATCATTTTCCACGATCCTAGTCATGCACCACAAAGAATGTGCGCCCCGGATTGCAAAATGTGGCCAGTTTTCCATGAATCTGGTAACTATGACCAGAACCAGCAATCGAGGATGCTAAACTAAGCATGCAAATTCTGTTCATAATGTTCTCATCCCTTATACTCTAGTTGGTTGAAAGAAAAGAGATGAAGAAGATAAATAGCAAAGAAGAATATTAATAATCACCCCTAAGTTTTGATAAGATAGAATTATCATGATTTGAATATTATGACTGATTAATTTCACATATATGATGAAAATTCATATCACACAACATAAAGGAAAAAGAAGCACAGCAAGTGTTAACAGACAAAAATAACTTTATTCATTTCTATCCAATTGATAGAAATCACCGATTAAGCATTTTCCCGAGTCAGACTGCAAATTCGTTAATCCACATTCAATATGCTAAAGCAAAAGAACTAAAAGGGAATGCGAATGCATATCCATAGATGAAACATGCAAATCAATTTGGGGTGGGAAACACAAATCTGGCTACTTTTACTGCATACAATCTGAATGCAGGAGCAAAAACATAATTGTTAGACTAAAAAGTTAAGCAGGAAAAATTGTACAACTTACCCATAGACCATAACAGGAATCAGATCACGGCCAGTTTTTGCAACAATAGGATCAAAACACTCCTGTCAAAAGCAAAAGAGTGCATAATCAAGCAATTAGATCAGTAACACCACCGCACATCAACTAAAACATGTGCACTACTCATGGATGTTCATTCTGAAACATAGCACCCAAAGAAGATGAGCTTGAACTTGGATAAGGCTGATCACAAACCCAACCTATGTCTTAAAATATTTGTCTACCTTGAGCATTTAAAGTGACATGAACATCAAAACCATGACAGACCCTTATCCTCCCATGACCTCAGCTAAAGTCCTAACAAAAATAATTCCTATCGTTCTTTTCAGGGAAAGGACCTATCTAAAAGTGTTATCCTATCATCCAGTATCTTTCATCATCCTTCACCATGCAAGATTTAAATTATTAGTTTTTCTCAAGGTGGACAGCTTTAATGCCTCTTCTTTTCCCCTTTTCTATTGATATCAGATCGCTAATAATTCACATGAGGATTAAGAGTTTCCTTTGGTAACATTCAGCATTTTCTAAATGCCCTTTCGTTTGACATTTCTATTTAGAAGAATTCCTTGTCCAATTGTAATTTTGATACACTGCTCAATTTAACTCAATCCCAAACTAGCTGAGGCTGACTTCAAGGATCGATTCCCACTGTCTTCCATTAGGTTCTGCATAAGCTAAACACTTCATAAAATGTATAAAAGGAGACTCACTATTAAAATCTTTTTTCTTACCAAAAACTAAAAAAACGGCATGGCCCTTGAATTAAATGTAACTATACATTTTCTTCCATCGTGAATGTGAAAAATATGCAGATTTCTTTTATGGAGGGATGGTATGCAAAGAACTCGCTTGCATGTAGAATAATATCGATGAATAATATGACACTTATAATGCAGTAGCTAATAATATAGCTTTTTTATTATTTCAGTAGTTCAATTTTATTTTACTGGTTATTAGACATATGGATGGCTAGGATTACAAGTTTTTTTTTTTTTTTAGAAGTTCAATCTAGGGCTGGGATTAAAGCTTTTAATGTAACCCTACTATAAATAAGCTGTAGAACAGATTTACAGCAATCTTGTAATTATTTTCAACTAATAACTTCTGGAACTAAAGGTTTGCCCAAACCCTACGTTTATATAGACTTCCAACTTCTATCCTAATTGTTTCTGCTGCTTTCTTCTTAAACTACACCAACTTAAGATCTACATGGTGCTAATTTTTCTTGATTTTCTTGATCAAAACAAAACATCTGCACACATATTACAAAATTCCCTAAAATATTTGAAGGTGCATCCTGTAGTAGTGTAAAAAGGTGGGCTTCTCCCAAAAACTAGTTTGTGAGAAAACATGATGCAATAAGTAGAGACTAGACTTGGCTTATTTAACAACTCTCTGCTCCCAATAGATGTAAATAAATTGCAAAACACAAATTATTCGTTCACTTCCCAGACTAAATTTTTCTTGCATTTGCTTGATAATATCTACCCCAACCTCCAGTTTTTATCATTTCAATAAATGTACCCAAGAGTTAAGACTGCCAATAAAAGATCCTGAAGATGAAAAGAATAAAATAAAGACAAATTCACCCAGTTTTGTCCATAATAGCTGCTTGTGTTACTGGGAAAAGGAAGCAGAAATCCAAGAAGGCATCAGCAAGGACTTACTCGAAAAATTGCAGCAGCCCTCGAAAGCAATGAAAGATCTTCTCGGTTGCGACTCTTTCCCATCAGAATTTGCCACTGCATTTCATGTGCAGCCTCGTCAACAAGTAGTCCTTTCTCGACATGCTTTCTACTTATGATATTTAACAGCGAAGCAGGAATTTTCTGCACTCCAGTAGAAACAGAATTCCGGAGAGCTGCATAGATCTTATTGCAATCTTGACAGCAGAACCAATTATCTTTGGGGATTTCCTGTAGTGAAATATATGAGGAAATAATAGTATATACTCCCGGAAGATCATAAACACTAACTTTTTTTAGATAATGGACCTACTTTTAGATCACACTGTCCACTTTCCCGCAAGCAACCAACATGAAACTCCTTTTCACACTGAAAGAAAGGACAAAAGTAAGAAATAGGAAAATTAAATATATGAAGAAAATTCTCGCCCAATTGCTAGGTTAACAAAAATCAAGCATACTTGGTCACAGAGGATAACTGTTCGGTCATCAAACGTATCACCACTAAAATCATGGGCCCTGATGAACATAAAAGCACAAAGAGGTGACAAAGTTAGCATGAAAAGCAGTGAAAAGATTTTTAGGAACCAAAAGCAGAATTTGATGGATGACTAAATTGAACTAAACAAGCGAAAACTAAGGAACACTCAAAAACAAATCAGTGTTCACTGACCAGTAGGAAACCCTTTTACAAAAAGCACTTGCAGCTCAGAGCTCATGGTTTCTATGTTAATGGGTGCATTAAATAATCTATTACTACTCTACAAAAGCTCTGTAATCGTTAATAACTAATTAATCCATCTCTGCTTATCAGCTGCCATTGCGGACTTCTTATTTCATCAGTTAACTTATAGCCTCTCTCCTCATGAACTCGCCATGATAATCCAACGAATGGTTTAATCAACCATATCAACTTAATTCTTACCAATCTTGACTTAAAGCGTGAACATTTAAGCAAGCACATTCTGAGCTTGTAAAATACAGACCTTACAATGACCACAATGCATTTTAAAAGTTAAAAAATTACACCCTTATGATATAATCGTAGGAGAAACAAAAAGTTCATAGGCCAATTTTATACCAACATCAAGTTCTTTTCCAAGAAAAAAATGACTTCCTACTATTTGATAGGGTAGAAATTTCCCGAGATTTTACCTGCAAACTACACAACCGCCAACATCATATTCTGGAGTTTTAACAACTCGAGTCAGCCGGATGACAATAGGTCTTGCGAAATTGCCTTCATGCCCAAATTTATTGCAATTTGGACAATGCCAAGCACCTTCAGGAGTATCCTGTAAATCCAAACATGCTGCAGCACAAACAAATACAAGAGGAGAATGGATATGTATTAAAAAAAAAAAAAAAAGGAGCAAACTTAAAAAATTATAGATCACAGCGTGATCAATTTAAAAAGTGGGTGCATAAATTTGGAAACTACTGATATAGGACCAAGAAAGTACTCTCTTTTTTTCCACCAACAAAATATTAGAAAGCAGAATACTAGTCTATGTCAAATGACACTTGAGCCAACAATGCACCAGCAGAAAGCAATATGGGTTGAGACAGTAAGACAGGTTAAAGTAGCCCAACCCACCTAGCATGAAGAAAAGATTCTTATACTGTTAACAATTTAAGCAAGCAGAATGAATTTAACAGTAGAATTTTAAGATGAAGGGGAATAACAAGATACAAGTTCCGTGAGTAGAAGCAAACAAAACATGTATAGAACTATACAGCTGAAAACAAGTAGAAAACAATGCTCTGAGTATAAATATAGCATTCACCTGCATGAAAAGCACGAGGGCAACTCTGACAAAACATTAGATCCCCTCCATCTCCACATTCTGCACACATATCATCACCAATACCTGTGGTAATGTTTTGCCCATTTGCCAACGAAATAGCTATGTCATGGAGGGTCAGTCCATTAGAAGTATAAATGTGACGATAGCTGCAAACGGATATGACTTGTTAAGAATAAGAAAGAAACAAATTAACTACGAAAAGTTCCAACTACTTTCAAAGGCCACTCACGGTTGACGCCTGGCGGACATTCCAGCATGAGACTCAAACTGTGAAGGGCTTATCTGTCACCAATAAAATAAGGGAGCAATAATGAGTGAGATAATGAGAGAGCTGCAAAAATCACATGCAGCTCCAGATCTGCTGTTAATGCACAGCTTCATAATTTTAACAATCTTACCTCTACTTCACAGCAACTACAGACTATACCATTACCCTGCTTGTATCCCCCTAGTAATTTCTGGAAAAAAAAAAATACAAAACATTACTAAAACTATGTATCAACATGAACATATCACTGCCATTGTGCATGTGTGCACATGTGTGCCTTTCTACCAAACTACTCACCTGCCCTTTGACATAGTATGCCAATTCGGTCCCATCAGGAAGACCATTTGGCAAAAAGAGTAACCTGTGAAGATCATTATCCCTGCCAATATATAGGAAGAATACCATGTTAGAAAAATTCAAGCAAAGATAAAATCCCAACATGAGTAGGTTTCAACTAACAGACAAGAGAACAGACCAAAAGCATACCTCTTCCTGACACCACTCTCAGCTGTTTTCTTTTGTTTCGTAACAGAGCTAGGGAAGTTAGAGCTAGGTCTGCAAAACAAAAAATGTAATGCCTGATGACCAAGACAGAAGAAACCAACACCGTTTTGTGTATGAATCTAATGAAGAGGAATTAAGGTAGATCCATCAAGTTTTAATAGATCCTCAACAGCATAAAGCAACAAACAAAGCAAATGATGAGAGAGAGGAAACCTCTTCAATGCTTGTTTCTTCACGCCTGAAGCCTCCATGTATGTTTGCTGACTGACAAAGTCGTTATTATACAAAAAGGAGCTTGAAATTGGACAATCTTTCAGAGCCTGACTAGCGTAGCTGCAAGTTTTAACACAGTATTATTTTTTGCCAACAACGATAAAGTGATTTGTAATTGTGATTAGCCATAAAAGTGCAAGTAGTCAACACACTTTCAGGAAACAGAATGGAAGGGTAAGGCTAAATACTCAGTGTACATGATTTTGACTCAGTTTCATCAACATCAGAAGACATGCTTAGATTATACAAAATTAAAACAGTATTATGAGAACGAAGATCGTGAAATTTGTCATGAAATGTTCTCTGATAATTAGTTAAGCAATGACCAATGACAATTAAGGGTGAGCGGTTTAGCTGCCTATCTGCATTTCTGGTGAAATTCTCCAGATTAGCAATTAAGTGAAAAATGAGTAAAAATTCTGTCACAGAGGAAAAGAGCAGAGACAAGAGGCTGCAGTAAGGGTGTGGATTGCACATATTCACAATTCTATTGAAGATCTGTAGCTCAATAATTTTATACAAGTGTATAATTAAATAAAATAAAAAAAAACACATAAATCCGACAAAATTAAGCATATGCAAATGACTGAAGACTCATAAAAAAGCATGAAAGAGATAGCGAAAAATGAAAGATTACACATATGAAGATGATTATCTAAGACAAAATAAGCAGGAATAGTTAACCAAAAGATGGATCAAAAAGGGAACAAACAATCAATAATTTGTCTTTACACACAAGGACAGTGAGGAAAGTGCCCAGAAAAAGTTGATAACCCTAATCTGAAATTACAAATTGCGTAATTGATAAGAAAAAATGGTGAGTAAATTGTATTCTAGGATTGAAAGAATGAGGAGAAGAAGAATTAAAAACATTGGTTGATGTTGTATAATGTTTACCTCTGTTACTTTGCCACAGTAAGCAATGTTTAGATCTGTCTGGAGGTACTCAAAAGAGGAGAATACTTAGATAGAGAGGTTTAGAAAGAAGAGTATAGGATATGTATTGCTTTTTAAACCTAGGTTACCAACAATAACACACAACAAGTGAAAGGTATGGGTTATCCTTTACATCTATGTAATAGAGAATTATACAGAGGCGGCGTGTTCCCAAGGTGAGGAAACAAATGGAAGCAATCTTTATGTTGAAGAACCGCTTTACCAACTCTTATCTAGGTCAAACACACCAACCACGCCCGAAAGTTCATACACGGACTGAATGAATCAGTACAGGCATTAAGTACGATGGACACGTGCTCAAAGGTGAATTGGGAAAAAGAAGGTTAAAAACAATACCGAACAAAGATAATTGCTCTAACGAGGTCAAAACAAATATGGAAGTTAAAGACCTTGTTCCATTTTTATATTATTATTACCTTACAAGAGAATAAGGCGAACAAGGTAGTTTGCAGTAACTTTTCGTATCTTCTACAAACACTGCATTGCTTTGATGAAGACTAGCTGCACATGGCATTAAACACAAGTCAAATTGGCACAACATATATATGGGTCTCCTAAGTTAAAATCCATGCCTGAGCAGTCAGGCAAATATAATGCAACTATAGTGTTTTTTTTTTTTTTCGTCATTGTTTTTGGTTGCTTGGTTGCAATATGAAGACATATCGCATATAAAATCACAAATATTTTCCAATCACAGATATTCATCTTGGCACCAAGTCAAACCAAAATGTCTCAACAGGGTAGCAAATGAATAACAAATAAAACATGTATCACCTTTCCAAACCTGGAAGAACTCCTCATTGATGGAAGGACCAGCCACATCTTTTATGACTTCATCTATGATGCTGAGTGGAGCCATTTTTAGTTCTTGAATAATACTATAAATTGGCTTCCCATTCTCCAAGTATATGTGATTGTTGGGATGTCTAGTTTTAGCACCAGCATGCTGCTCAAATTCATATGCACTAATGACCTGCTTGTATTCATTCAGTAGCCTTGTTAGCAAAATTACATGAAAAGGAAGGGGTGGCCCCCACACATCAATCATGTTAACTGCAAGAGAACAAATTACTTTGGAGAAATTGCATGACGAACAGCCACACAAGTATCCACCACCATCTATAATTCCATCAAGCTCTCGCTGGCAAACCATTTCATTTAAAGCAACATGAGATTCGTAAAGCTATTGAAAACAGCAATTTGGTTGGAAATTAGAAGCAAACTGAGAAAAATAATAACGACAGAAAATTACCTCTGAAGAAAAACAAATATACTTGACGCGAGCCCTATCAAGAATACCTGTTGCTAACAACGTTTTGACATTTGTAGGGTAGTTGTTGGGAACAACCTTCTTAGACATGTTCAACTCCATATTAGAAGAACAAAAATATCTTTCTCTAGCTTGAGGCATTTCTGGGCAGGAATCAACCCACACAGAGTGGTTCCTTGGATGATATTCGTCATTATGATAATACAACAGTCCTTGATCAATTCCATTATGTAGAGAGTGAGCCACCGAAGTTTCAGTATCATAATCCTCTTTTCTTTTACTGAACTTAAGAGTAATCTTCCTAATCCCCGTGGTACTAGCATGCTTAGGAATCTCCAACACAACAGGAGACATAGAAACAGAAGCACAGGTATCTTTTCGATGACTTTGGTGGGAGATGTTATCTTCACTGCTACTACCATTTCCTTCCTGGCTCACAGTCAAAGTCTCCTCTGAACAGGTAGGCGATTCTTCAGTTGGTTGGCTGGAGATATCACGGGATGATCCGTTGTCTTTAGGAGAAACTAATAACATTAATGGATTCGAAACTTCAGATTTCGTGTCGTCGTTTGAAGCTTCTTCTTGTTTTGCTGGTTTCTTGTTCGGAAATAATTCCCCGGTTTCATTCTCATTCACCAGAAATTGACTACGCTCTCTCTTCAATTCGCCTCTTGCCTCTACCATACTCACATCTGCCTCTGCTGCTGATATACATCCATACAAACCAAAGCAGGTAAAACCTAATTCAATTCAACTGAATCACCCACCCCCTAAATCAAAACAAAACAACTAATAAATTACTATAATTAGATTCCAAACAATTAATACACAGTTCCTACTCTCCCTGAATGTCCCAACCAAACAAGCAAGAGGAAGAAGAATGACGTAGGCACAGCCATAGCCATATTAGGAGTAATATTAATTCAAACAAGTTTCAAGTAGCAAGAGAACCTACCTCACCTCAATTCAAATCCAACAAAACACACAAGCTGCTTGCTGATTTCTGCTTGTTGCTGGATTTCAGATCTAAAATGGATTTATTTTTTATTCTCTATGGCAGGAAGGAAGGTAAGGGTAGAAAAAACAGGAATTTGAATTCACGATTGATTTCCTAGGGTTTAGTTTACTTTCAATGTCATCAAAAAATACAGCGCGAACATGGACAGCGCCAAAACAAATAACTGAGGGACAGACTTTTTTTGCTCCAGATTTCTAGTTTCCTTTTGGTTTTAAGATTTCTAACAAATGAAGAGATATATGTGTGTGTGTATATATACACACACACACATCGTACATCATTATCCATCTATATGTGTATATACATTTGGGTCGGGGAGGGTAACATCGTCCTCATTTTTTTTGACAAAAATACCCTTAATCACTAGCCGACTGGCTTTCCAAAATAAGGGTAAACTCGTCGTATGGCTTTTCTTTGTCTTTTTTTTTCCCCTTCAGTCTCTCTGGTCTCCGTCCCCGTGCACAGAGAATTAAAAAAAACCAACATCACTTTACTTTTCTATTGCTTAAATTTAGAATTTGTAAAAGGAAGAGCGTTGTTGATAATATGATGTATTTAGAAGACACGAGACAGAAGACGAGTGGTTGAATAAGATGGGACCTTAACTGAATATCAATTCTACCACGTGGCTTGATCTTCTGGACGTAGGGTGGTTAGGCACCAACATGGAGCTAGTGTTGATTGGTGGATCTAACTAACGTTTGGCCCAGGATCCGCAATGCGGAATTTTTTATTTTTCGCTTTTGGCTAAAAAAATATAAGAATTACTAAAAATAAAATAAAAAATAAAAGATCTAGAGTTATCACTATTCATTTACTATATTAATTTTTTTCTGAGTTGAATGGCCTTGGCTGCCTGACGCGCTGCCCTACACTCGCAAGCCCAATCACGTGGCATGTCCTAGCAGCTCGCACCTGCCCTTTTTTTTTCTTGATAAACAAAAAAAAACTAAAAAAAAAGGATTGTTATTGTTGGTGTACTGTTTATTTAAACTCAATTGGACTATGAATCATTGTGCTTGCCCTCCTTTGTCTCTCTTCCTTTCATTTCCAACCCCTCCTCTCTCTTCTCATCCTTTCTTTTGTCCTCTTCTCTCAGTTGACGAGCGTCATTTAATGCTTCTTCTTCGTGTCATTTGTAGCCTTTTTCTCTTATTTCTCCCTCATCATTTTTTTCTTGGTCATCCCACCTTTTCTCATCATGGATGGCCCAATTTCTTGATTCTTTTTGTCTTTTTTTTCTTTGTTTCATGTCTCGGTTTCTTTTCCTTTCTGTTTTCTTGTTTTTGGTTTGGTTGCAAATGGGATGGATTGCTCTGTTTTGTTATTTCCAATTCGATTGGAGGGGGTGGTTGATTCTGCTTTGTCTTCCATTTACTTTTTCTGTTTCTAGTTTGGTTTCAGTCGAATGGTTTCCTCTGTTTTGTCTTTTCAGTTCGGCTAAAGGGAGTGATTATTCCTCTTTGGCCCCACAACCCCCATCATTTGCATCCACCTTTGGTCAAACTCTTCTCAATTTTTGCGTCCCCTTCTACTATCTTTGCTCACGCTTTTTTCCCTCTCCATTTGTTACTATTTCTTTCTTCGTTCTTTTAGCTCTTCTTATCTTCTTCTCCTTTGTTGCTTTCAGGTTTCTCCCTCTTCTCTTTTTTTCTTTCTTTTCTAGGTTTATTTTTCCTTTCTCATGTCCTTTGAGTTGCTTGCGTTTCGCTGTCTCATTTTTTTGGGTGCGCATTATGTTTCTTTGCAGTGGATTTTGGTATTGTCAATTGTTCACGTCTTCGAGAGGTATGTTTCCAGTTCCCTTCTCTATTTTCCTCGATTTTTTGCTTCTTTTTCCATCTCTTCATGTCATAGGGTGTGATGGTGTTATGCTATTGCTTTTCATTGCCCTTTTATGTCTAGCTTTTCTGCCATAGGTTTATGTCGTTATGTTGGTTGCAACTGAATCCATCTATTGAATCATCAATCTCTTCGATTAACCACATGATGGGGGTGTTAACCTATTGAGCAAATCATGGAACGAGCTCACCATTTTAAAGTAATCAATAGATTTATTGCAAATTGTCTTCCTTTTGCAAGTACCAATCTCTTATTATCCATTGATTGTTGCTCCTCCGTTCTATTTGTCTTTGACAAAGGTGAGTTTGGAATTTTTTTTCTTTCTCAATTTCGATTTCTTTCTCCTTTTTCCCATCATTTACTTTCGTCGGGTGGGATTGTGTTCTGCAAAAATCAAAACTTGGAGCCTTTCGTGATTTTATGAATTACCAGACTATAATTACAAATGCTCAAGGAGAAAAAACATGTTCTGTAATGTTAGGAAGAGTAGAATTGAATTTAGTCTATTCTCTTGGTTTTGGGTTGACTTTTTTTACATTTTATGACCTGAAAAAGTGGTTTTCCATAGAGTTTTATCTACTGGGCTTGGCCCGGCTATCTTGGACCTTACCCTATCTAGTTGTTTATAAAACCACAAAACCCTATAGTTTTTTTCTCTTTCACCGCCAGCCACCAGCCATCCAGCCAGCAGAGAACATAGAGAAACCACACCATCACAATGATCCCACAAAGCAAACTTTCCTGCTTTCTTTATAGAGAAAGTTATGTCATTTGTTTTGTTTTTGTTTGACAAATATAAATTAGTGAGTTCAGTTGATGCCATGACTCGATTGTTCACCGAGTCAACCAACACAGCTCTGTTTCGTGATTGAGCCAAGTTAGGGTCATACCTGGCATTGTCATTTCAATTTAAGAGGGGTAGGGGCGAAGTTGGATTCAAAGAAGGAAGAAAGAATGAGGGTTTTTGGAAGAGGCTAAGGTCATATTGGAGAAGATGAACAAAAGAGAGGGTGGCTGTGATTTTATAGAAAGAGAGAAAGGAAGTCTGATGCTAAATTTAACTCTTTTTTTTTCCTTTTTATGTTGTAGGTGTTGTGGTTATGTTCAACGTTTGGAGTGACACACGCATTTTCAGTATGTTTATTGCTTTCCACTTTGTCCACATACTATGATAAAAGTGGTTGTTTTATTAATGTACTAATGACTAAAAGAATTAACTATGTTATTATGCAAGATTTTTGCATCACTTTTGTTCCACGTTTGATATTTCGTATCTTGTAAAAAGTGACAATACACAATGTCGGCTTCCCAATGTAACTATAATACTTATCTGATGCTTGAAAACTTAAGTGTTGTGCCATTGTTGTAATGAAATTTTTCTATTATTTTGGCAATAAGCTTTTTCTATTACTTTTTTACATTTATTGCATCCCGAGGGCAAATTAGTTACTTCCATGTTAACATACACATTCAACAATTAATATGGACTTATGCTTCCACACCAAAGTTATATTGATAAGTATAGTCTAAGAAAATTTAAAGAATGAATTTTGCTAATTACGATTATAGGAGGATTGGTAGATTGGATTTATTTGCTTGGATCCATTGGATTAAGTTTTAAAATTCAAGACTTTCATCGACTTCATTCCCTCTGGAGCTAGATTAAGTTTTCTCATTTTAATTTGGTGGTTTGGCTATATATAGGCTCTTCCTGTTCACAATGATTTTAATGGTTTTGTTGTTTGTCAATCTCATGGCAAACTTAGCTATACAAAGTGAAATGTTATCATTATCATGACTTGATAGGCTTTAGGAATCATTAGAACTGTTTGGAGAATGAACTTTAGCTTGGAAGGATATGCATGATGGAATGACTATTTGATCATACCAAAAACTTGGGTTTTGTAGATAATAGAATTGTTCTATTCATTTTGCCTTATTTCAAAATTAGACCCCCATTAAGTTATGCTAAATAGGGTTATTTGTGGAGATCAGGATTTGTGACAATTCAAGAGAAATAAACCATTCAATAAAAGAGAAACAAACTTATATTTATGATTGCATGTGTATTTTTTCTTCGACAAAAATAATTTTTGGATCCACAACTTATTTATTTGCCTTTTGAGATCCATGAATGAACTACATTAATATAAGTGAAGAAATATGGCCTTCTATCATATCATCAGCCACTGAGTTGGTTATATATGTTAGTCAATGTTATTGTGATGTAGGTGTATTCATATGTTTTCCAAGTCATGAATATATGTTTGATCCAAATTCCTAATGAGCAACACTGTTGCTGTAAAATAATAAGATTGAATATTAAGGTAATTATATTGTATATCTAGGATTGGATGATTGTTAAGTATTTAGGAGACAACGTTGAATGCATCGATTAGTAAATTGCTACCGTTTTAGTTTATTGACATTATTATAATTTTGGATTTAGGTTTAAAATTCTTTGAAAAAAGGTTAATCTTCTTTTTTTTTTTTCTCATTCATTAAGTCATAAGTATACCTTAAAAAATTGATCCATGTGTTTTCTGAAAAAAAGTAATCGTTCATCAAACAAATTGATAATTAATAACTTGAGTATTCAATTTCACATCACATTTGTTGTGCTTTCTTTTGGCCAGTTTTTTTTTCTAGATACTTATATATATAATGCCAATTATAGCAAAGCAAATTATTATTATTTGATATTTTCATGGATCTCAATATAAGTCAATATTTGCATTTCGTTGCTTCATATTGACACTTTTCTATCACATTGTCTATCCGTGCCTTTTGTGTGACCTTATCGATTTTACTTGCTTCTTGCAAACTCCATGAATTTCCATTTTTGGATTTACCTTACTTTGATATAGTCACTCTGATAAACATCACATCAACATTGTGTTCTAAGTTTGTTTTTCTTTGCATAGTGTTGTTTTTTTCATCTGTGTCTTCAGTTCATCCTTTATTTAAGTTGTTTCCACATTTTATTCCCTGCTTTGTTTTCATGAGAGTTATTAAATTCATTTGTTTGTCTTCTTTGGTTCATGTTGATATATTATATGCCATTTTCAAATATGTTATTCAACTAGGACTCTGTCATAAAAAACTTTGTTGCGATTTGCCTATGTTTTCACGTTGCTTGCTTACATTAGGATGTCAGAACTTTTTTATTATGCAGGTTTGAAACAGCACCCTCATGCTGTTGTCCCATTATTATAAAAAATACAATATTCTTTATATTTTTCTTTTACACGTACAAATATTTTTAACATCAAAAAAATTTCAAAACAAAACTCTTTATTACATGAAAGTTTAGAATTTCTTTACAATTTTAAAAGGACTTCATGATCTCCCTATTTGTTTTTTTTTTAAAATGAAACTTGGATTTGGTCAGACAAGTGGGTATTTTAGAAAAAAAAATTAAGATAAAAAAACTGATGTACCATAATAATTAATGTGTCTTATATATGTGTGTGTGTGTGTTTCGGATAATGTTTAGGTTTTTCCTACAAATTCTATTTATGCATACATGTGATCAATCAGAGTTAATTATATGTTTACATTATGCAATCGATTGAAAATAGAATAATAACAAATATTATGATCACTAATGCAATTATAAGTTTAACCCACATGAATTTTATCAATTCGTGATTCATGATTGTAACGGGATTTACATTATATTTGTATATGATATTGTCTATTGATGTCTTCATATTTAAGATTTAGACTTCTATTAATGGTTCTTAGATTTTTATTTTTTCATGATGAAAATTTATGAATAGAAAAAGATTAGCATTAATTATATAATAAAAAAACAGAGAATTATTAACTGTATCAAAAGATTGTATTTTTCTCTTTCATATAAATATTAAACTTATCACAGAATTAATTCATAAACTTCATATAAAGAAGAGCACAGATCTCAAAACGATAATGCTAAATTTACTATATATTTTGTTATTCATGTCATACCCCAAAATTTTACCCCTTTTTTCTTTTATTTTAGTTATTTTAGTTACCCAACAATTCATACCAAAATATTTATTATAAATTACTGTTACCCCACCATTACATCAAGTCAGTAAGCAGATAATAACTAAATATAAGAGTTTGTTGATAATATACAACAAAAAATTAGTGGAAATAATAAAAATATATGATAGATATAGTTGTACTCATCTCAAAATACATAATAATTTCTTACCCAAAAATATTTTTCCCAAGAAAAGAAAATCATGGTATTAATTATTGAAAAATTGAAACTATACAACCAATTCTTATTTTTATAAAGATAATGTTTAAAAAAAAACTAGAGAGGGAAAGAGGCAATAAATCGTCTTTTGATGATGTCTGCAATATTATCCCTTTCACATTTAGGCTGATTTTTTTTGCCTATAGAAATGGTGATGCTTAATTTATAGAAAGAGTTAGGGAGCAAATACTCCTTCTCTATTTAACAAATAAAGTCAAATCTCAATTGCTATAAACACTTTCTCCTCTAGCTCCAACACTTAAATTTGCAATAAAATTTCCTGGCCTAACATGAACCTCTTTATTTCTTTTTCGTTGATCCATGAAGTTGCTGGCCATTTCTGGTAAATAATTCACCTCCATCACATCACCTACATTAATCATTAATTCTGGGCCACAATGAGAAAGTGACATTATCTTTCTTGTGTTGCAAATCTATAAGGGCAATGTACGAGAATTGAAAGAATGAGTTTTGCTAATTAGGGTCGAAAATAGGTGATTAGTTATAAAAGGATTGGCAGGTTGAATTTATTCCCTTGGATGCATTGGGTTGAGTTTTGAAATTCTTAAGAAATCATTGATTACATCTAAAAATACTACATCATGCTTGAGTTGATTTTGTGAAAATTCTTTATCATGAATTTATATAGCATTTGTGGCTATGGGTTACATGAATAGCATATCAAAATTTTGAAATGGGATGTCGAAAAAGATACATTTGAAAAGCAACATGGATAACATGAGCATGCTATTACTAAAGGCATAAACCTAATTAGTCTACCTTAATTGTTTAAATTTTTTTCCATCAATATGTAAATTCATTTCTATCTCATCACCTGTATAACTCTTTGATTTTGGGAAAACAATAAGAGAGTGATGTTATCCTTCTTGTGTTGTTTTTCTTATGAAAATTCTTATCCATACGAGTATAACACCTCTAACTTTTTAAGCTTATATTTTTCTGCCCATCCAAATGGTAACACTTCTTTTAATTTTTGCTAATCAAACAACAATACAATAGACAAGAGCCATGATTTATAGAAAAAGCTATGAAGTAAATATACCCTTCCAATTATAGCAACGCTTATATTTACATTAGAGATTACTTGTCCCATCATGAATTAATGGCCAATTCCTAAAATTAGCTATGAGGTCTTATCATGATCATGACTTCATAGATTTTAGGAATGATCATAATTGTCCGGAGAGTAACCTTTGCTTTCTCATTTTAATCTAATGCTTAGACCATATATAGACAATTCCTATTTAGGAATCATTGAAACTACTTAGAGAATGGGTTGGGTTTGTTAACATTATTGTAATGCGAGTTGTTTTGTTGATTTGGGCTGATTTTAGAATCATAGGCTCCATCGAGTTAAGAAAAAGAAACCAATAAATAAACTTGGTATGCAATTTTGCATTATATTTCACTTCATAATACTTATAAGTTACGAGTTAAGAAAATTGAAGCTATTTCATCTTTTGTTGGATTCTAATATAAGCCAATATTTACTTTCTCCTTTCTTGCTTGGTTTATTTTTCATTTTTTTATCAATTTCATTGATTCTTACATACACTTTTCTATCCCATTGTCTCTCAATGCCTTTTCCGTTTTCTCATCGGTTTTATTTGCTTCTGCGTACTCCACGAAATTCCATTTCTTAGTTTACCTTGCTCGACATACACACTTCGATAAACATCACATCAATATTGTGTTCCAAGTTTGTCTTTCTTTGCATAGTTCTACCTTTTCCATATTAGCCATTCTTTTGTTTGCCATTTAAAATGCTTATGCCATGCTCCAATCATTATACTCACGTTTGCTCTTTTAATTTATTGATGACTCTTGAATGTTTTAGTTCATCGTTGTAGAGATTATGTCACACCTTACCCGTTTCATTCAACTTTTTTCCCTTTTTTTGCCTATACCTTTTAAATAAACTTTTCTTGCTTTTTATTACTCACTCTGTTTTCATGAAAATTATGAAATTCATATGTTTACAGTTATTGGTTCATGTTGATATATTACATGTCCTATTCATATGTATTATTTGAGTAGGACTTTGTCATAAAAAAAAAAAGCTCTATTGTAATTTGCCCATATTTCCATGTTATTTGCTTTCTTGAAGTTTACCATATAAACTTTAGAACCATATAAGCTTATTATTTATGGTACGATATCATAACTTATTTATTATGCATATGAAAAAGCACCTTCATTCTAATGTAGGGTTGTTGTTTGCATTTTCTCTCATCCATCTATTCACATTTTGTGTTATAAACGAGATATGAATGATGTTTTCTTGCATGCAAGCTAGCACCTAAGCATTGGTTAGACCAAGGTCATAGTGCTTTTTTAACTTGCATTCATTGCACTTCGAATGCGGGTTAACGACGATAATATTCTCAACTTATTAGGTCCTAGGTTGTGGGTGTTACGGACATGGTATTAGACCGGTTCTTCCCAATCACATCCACAATACGTGAATGGTGACCTTCGGTAATCGGTAAGTATGTTTGATAAATGATGGTTATGATTGTTTGCTTTGTATGTTATACATAAAAATGACGTGAAGTTATTTTAGAAAATAAAGTTATAATGTGATATGGGAGGCTTATTGAATGTTATGTGCATGTGAACTCGAAAAGAGGGGAATACCATACCACCGAAGTAAGGTAATAATGATACTACTAATAATGCTTAGGAGGCGGCAAAAATGATGGAATGAAAACAAGAGAGACATGAGGAACATATACAAAGGATCTTAGAAGCAACTCGATGAGGTCTAACTAAGATGCGTCAACCTTAAAGGATTGAAATAATTGAGCAATTCTAAAGGTTCAAACCAAAGGAATTTAAGGGTAGACCAAATCCTAATATAGTAGAGGAATGGATTGAGTCCTTAGAGATTATTTTTTAATACTTGGATATAGGTGATGCGGATAGGGTAGTGTATGCCACCTTTATGTTGATTGCTGATGCACACAATTGATGGAAAACTAAAAAAGCATCATTAGGAGATGAGGGAGTCACATGAAACCGGTTTAAAAACTTGTTTAATGAAAAGTACTTTTTCGACACGGTGAGGTCCCAAAAAATCCAAGAGTTCCTCTAGCTTAAGCAAGGGGACATGTCGATTCATCGAATATGTTCGTAAATTCGAGCTTGGTTGTCATTATACTACTTTTATTACCGAAAGTGAGTAAAGAAAGAAAGAACACTTCCTCCGTGGTCTCGAGGTTGAAATACGAAGTTTTATCCGGATGTCGGTCGACACTTATAAGGATATGGCACGAAAGGCACTCGAAGTTGAAGTGGACTAGAAGGAGACCACTTAATGCCATAGACTAGCATGAGCGAGGGAGGAATCCCTTTGAACAGATTCGGGGAAGTTTAGTAGAAAGAGGCCTTTCAACCCAAGCTGGAGGAAGGACGATAAGAAAGGCAAGACACCTATTAGACCTTAAAGGACGGAGGATCGTGGTAACCTAAAATGTCCAAAGTGTGGACATTCGCATACAAGAGATTATTTGATGGGTATAAATGTCCGTTATTTATGCCCGGAGGTCGGACATTTAGCGAATAACT